CCTTTTGCTACACGACCACTCTACTACAACGACCTCCAAAAGGTTCATGCTTTTATGCAGTTTTGGCTGAGATATGAAATTTTTAGTGGGTTATGTCCATGATGACCCCCATTTTCAAAAGACAATTATAGTTTCGAATTTTGACCTGAAACTTTGCCCAAAGCGAAGTCTCACTCAGACTAGCTTCTGTGCAAAATTTTAGAACTTTTTGATCTAGTATTTTTGAGATATGCATTTTTCAAATTTTGCAATAGTTACATGGACAAACGCCTAAATTTTGAAAAATTCATATCTCAGAAAAACTACATCGAAAACTTCTGAAATTTTATACAGAAGCTAGTCTGAGTGAGCCCTCAATTTGGTCAACGTTTCAGGTCGGAATAAGTATCTCGGGAAATTTCCTTCGAAAATGTTAGTTTAGAAATCGAAAGTGGGTACACTTGGATATTGAAGTCAAAAGTGACAGTTCAAAATAGTATCTGTTAACGGTTTTTTTATTAAAATAAAACTTAAAAGAATATGCTATCATGCTATTAAAAAAACGATTAAATTGCTTGAATTGTATAAGAGATATTTACGAAAACTTTTCTTGGGGACTTTTGGAACACCCTGTATATAAGGAGTGTTCTAGATACAGCACAGATGGCAAAAGTATTCGATCTACTCCTAAGCAGTTGTCATTATCAAATATTTTTGTCTCAAAAAACAAGCACCAATTGATTAAATGAGAATTTCATACACATACTTGTACATTTTCCCGCATTTTTATCATTATCTTAATTTTCTCCTATATTAAACATATTAAGAAATGTTCAGGTTTATTCGATTAAATCTTGCGTAATAATTTTAAGAATGAACAATAGATTTGTGATAGTTAGAGTAAAGTATATTTGATTTTTTCTCTTACTTTAAGTATCTAAACATCTTTAACTTTTTATAAAACTCAGAAAATGAATTAATATTTATTGAAAATTGTTCGATATAATTGAATTTTTTCTTATTTAATTCAATCAATGTTTTCATGGACCGACAAACATTAGATACTTCTATACTAAATACCAAATAGTATTATTAGATAAACTGACAGTTATCAATTAATTATCATATGATCTAGAAAATAAGGTGTGGGTGTAAATCTTCACTCTGCCCACACACATCTACACCCACACCCACACCCACACCCTCAATCATGAAACGAATATGATCACGATGATGAACAGAGCCACTTACATGTTTGAGAAAGAAATCCTAGAGGAAGAGTTGCGAAACCCTATTGTCGGTAGATTTCTGAAGATCTTCTTTTGAAATCCAAACGGAAACTAGAAAAATCTGGAAATTTCAGAGTTTATAGAATAGTCACTGAGAACACATATGATCACGAAAACAAGTAGTCATTGATTTCTCCAAAAATTCTCTTAAACTCGTTTGAAAACTTTTCAAGTATTCTGTTCTTCAAATAGGTTTCTGCTTCAGCCATCTTCTGTCTGTAAGAATGAATACTCAAATTCCATAGCTATCAGCGTTGTCGAGTTATTAAACTAACAATCGAGTGCAGTCTATTTTGAAATGGATGATAATTCATTGTCATTGTCAATGTCAGTGAGTAATTGATTTTGTTGACTAAATAATTCTGTTGGCGCTCCATATTGTGCAATGATACCATCATTCATAATAACAATTTTATCGCTATTCATTACTGTATTTAGACGATGTGCAATTGTTAATATCGTTTGATCGATAAATTTTTCGCGTAAAATTTGTTGAATTAATTGATCAGTTTTTGTATCAACATGTGCTGTTGCTTCATCGATAAGTAAAATTTTACTCTGTTTAAGAATTGCTCTTGCTACACATATTAATTGACATTCACCAACGCTAAAATTACTCCCATATTCTGCTATTTGTGTATTTAATTTATCTTTTAAATTATCAATCTTTGTTTTTAATTGAACAGCTTCTAATGTATCCCATAGTTGTTCATCAGTATAATGTCTGAATGGATCTAGATTATATCGAAGTGTATTACTGAATAATATTGGAGATTGTGGGATGATATTTAAAATTGATCGTAAATTGTTCAGACTAATTTTACTAATATCAATTCTATCAATAAAAATCTTCCCATCTATTGTTGATTTATCAGTTAATCGAAATAGTGCTTGAAAAATAGATGATTTACCAGCGCCTGTACGTCCAATAATACCAATTTTATTCCGTGGAAGAATTTCTAAATTAATACCTTTTAATACAGGTTCAAGCTCTGGACGATATCTTAACTTATAGTTTTCGAATTGAATTCTTCCTTCGAATGGCCAATTAACTGGTGGTTCTGATTCTTCTTTGTAAAAACCTGATTCTGAAGGAATGTGAGAATATTCATCAATTCTCTCAGCACTAGTCATATAATTTTCAGTTTCAGCCGACTGACGTACTCCCCATTGGAAAAGAGTAGTTAAACTTATACAGTATGATAGACCCAATGCTACAGATGAAGGATCCATACTTTTACGTAAAGCAACACATAAAACTGCTGTTAAAAGCGTTAAACAACAAGTCATTAAGTCTAATCTAAAGCCAAACCATCTACTTGAACACATGAATATAAAAAATGCACGCGTATTTGCATTAACTTTATCAATAAATAGATTTACAAAATCATTTTCCATATTAAATGCTCTGATAGTCATTAATCCACTTAATGATGAAGAAAATAATGCATAAATAGGACTTCTAGTTACACTATCTAATCGTTTAACAGCTCTACTTGTTTTTAAATAATATCTTCTTAACCATAGAAATATTGGAATAATGGGTATCAATATTAATAAAATCCATGGATTTGTCATACCAATAATAACAATACTACCTAATACCATTAATAATATTTGAATTGTATCAAAAAATGTTGCTGGTAATAATTCATCAACCACTTGTTGATCTTTGCTAAATCTATTTAATACACGACCGACTGGATTACTTTCATAAAATCTTAATGAACTGTATAACACACCTTTAAGCATACTATTATGTAATGCAGATGCACCACGCAATATCAAATGAAAAAAATAATCAGCACGAACTAATCCAATTGTCCATGTACCAATGACTAATCCTAAGTATACATAAGGATAATGGTTTTTGCGTTGGTCTATGTCTATCTTTGATGACCATAAACTTAACCATTTATTAGTTGCATCATAAACAGCTTCACCTACTAACATTATAAAAAACAATAGCAACAATCCAATCCAGCCATAACCAGAAGTGAATAGTTTCAACCAAACATCAATACTGACTGTCCCACCAATAGATATTTCTTCTTGAACAATGCTGTTTTCATCAATATCTTCAGGTAAATTAGTCGAATCATAATAAGAAATAGTACTATCGTGTCGTTTTTTAATATCTCTTGTTTCATCTGTATGATATTGTTGATTTTCATAGGATTCTTTTATTTTATCTATTGTCAATAAATCATTATATAAACCTTGTTTTTCTATTTTACCATCATGTAATAAAATACAATGATCAAATTCTGATAAAAATTGTATTTGATGTGTAACTAATAACCGAGTTTTATTATTCAAAATACCTTCATTACTAATGCATCGATTAAAAATTTTTCTGGCAACAGTGAGATCAACTGCTGCTAATGGATCATCAAATAAATAAATATCAGCTTCAGTGTATAAAGCTCGAGCAAGTGTAATACGAGCTTTTTGTCCTCCACTTAAATTTACTCCTTTTTCACCAATTACTGTTAAATCACCAGCGGAAAATGATCGTAAATCAGAATTTAACTGACATGATTTTAACATACGTTCATATTTCTCTTTATCAAAGGATTTACCAAACAATATGTTCTCACGTATAGTGCCAGCAAATATCCATGGTGTTTGAGATACATACGCAGTTTTACCATATATCTTACTACTACCTTGAACAAGAGACATTTCGCCGAGTATAGCTGCCAAAAGGGACGATTTACACGAGCCAATTGTTCCTATAATACCAACTAATGAACCACTATTTACATTTAAATCAATGTCAATTAATTCAACTGTTTGAGTAGAACCCCATGTGAATGAGGCTCTATCCATTATAATAGTGCCTGGTATACGATCATGGTCGCTGGCAGATTTTTCTTGGAATGTTTTTGTACGAGTCTGTTTGGATAAATTCATGAATTGATTAATGCGATTTGAAGCTATGGTACTTTCACTTAATTTTTCAATAGCATAAGGTAAGTTAGCTGTTAATGGGTATCTTACCATACCGAACAATGATAAAATCGTGAATATAGTTGCAGGAGATAGTGTTTGACCCATCAACCAACTTCCACCAAATGTGGCTAACGAAATTAATGATATTGATGAAAAATACATGCCTGTATTAATTGCTCGGAGTCGACTTGCTTTTTGGATACTGATAAGCTCATTTTTTCTTGTATTATAAACAAGATCTTCCAACGCTTCTTCCCATCTATACATTTTAACAATTTGACAACCAACCAATATCTCATTGATAACTTTTACACGTTTATCAGTCCATTGTATGGTTTCTTTTCTAAATGCTGCAAATTTTTTACTAAAAAACAGTTGCAATGGTACTAAAAGTATTAATACACCGTAACCGAATAAGGTCGGAATACCAATTTCATTCCAAATTAAACCAAAGACAATGATTGCTTCCAATGGTGCTGCCCACATATGATGTACATTAATGCTTAATTCTTCAAATTTACTAACATCGTTGGAAATTAAATTTATCATTTGACCTGTAGTTGTTTTCATAATTGCTGTCATTGGCAATGATAATAGTCTTTTATAAATAATAGACGAGAGTCCAATGCGTATATGCATTCCAGTTCGTATTGTACGAAAAAAAAATTGATGATGGAGGAGTGATTGGGAAATTGTTGCAAGTCCTAATCCAATGGCATATAAATAACCAACGTATGAAGCTGCATTTAAATCATTAATATTAAGAACGATTTTTTTTTAAAATAGAGGTTGAGCTATTTTGGTACCAATATATGGAAGTAAAATTAGACCGCCTATTAGACTCTCTTTCCAAAATGTTTTTACGATTATTTTCCATATATTAATATATTCATACTTATTTTCATTTTTTTCCCATACTCTTTCAAGTTTATTCAATAACTGACTACATTCATCATTTGATGATACATCAAACAAATCATTTTCAGTTAGTTGACGTTTATAACCAATATTTAAAATTGGATTTAACCACCACCAAAATACGACATAAATCCATCGTATCCAGGATGATTCAGCCCAATCTAAACCACAAGCCTTCCGATTGCTAGTGGGTATTTGAATAGAAGTCCCCTTGGTATTTGTTATTGGTGCTATTTTATTATTGGCGATCAGCAGATTACTGTTATCTGTCATATCCTTGTTTTTCAGAACGTAAAAATAGCATCTAGAATATATCAATAATAATAGTAGTAATAATTAACATATATAACGAAAGTTATAAGAGATTTTCTTCAATTGACAAAGGGAAATGAAAAAAAGCATATATGATCTTCCTGATTAGAGTGTTCCTAAAAGATATAAAAGAAAGGCTCGAATTTAAGATGCAACGGGGACGATGAATCACCTGTCTCACCAGTCCACCGTTCCTGTTGCATCTCTAACTCGAATGTTGCAGAGAGACTGTTTGAACAGACGTTCAAAATCGATTAATCAATTGGTAACCTCTTAAGAACAGGTGGCATACATATACGTCCAATTTCGAACTAGTTCGTAGTTGACTTGTTGATACTTCTTATGATTTTCACTGGCATACAGGACATGAATCTATGATATCTAGAGATATTGAGCCAATCCCGATTTTTGTTCTACAAGAGCGGATTCGAAACCAATTTATAGGAGTTTCAAAGGGATAGAATCAGTTTTAGAAAATGTCATCTTGTGGTATGATCTTTTACAAATAAATCCAATTTTTAACGTCATAGAAGCTCGATTTTGTTGTTTGGTTTGTACTTGTTTAACAATTTTACAAATTTTATAAAACAAATTCGTTTTCTTGTTTCTGATTTTGTGAAGTTTTTTCGAAAATCGGTCAGTTTTTCAGAAATACTGGCACCAAAGCAATTTTTTATGTACTCAAAAAGTGAGTACACTATAGAATCAGTCAGTGTGTCCAGCCGTTTACACGATAACTCTTCAATGGGTTAGTACGATTGTGATGAAATTTTGCATACAGAATCGTCTCATCGATATCTCCGTCGAGTTCGAAGATGAGGATGATTCGTCAAGAAATTGCTGAGTTATCGCAAAAAATGTCATTATTTCCTATGCTTTTCTATGCAAACATTGACCTATCCCGATTTTCGTAAAAAAACTTTTTCTCTCATAATCAAACAAAACCTCAGCTATTATATACCATTCGATAGAGAATTTCACGGGCTACAAAATGGTATATAAAACATTAAGAAACAAGAAGCCTAAGTCACCTATTGCAACGATTCTTAAATGAAAATTGGTTCTGTGTTTGTCCATGCTCTTATTGATCGAAAATTAAAGCCCCATCCTTCGGTCAGAGAAGCGATACTTCAAGATTTTATCGCACTTGAACAAACGTTTTCTGGGGCGGAGAACTTGAATCTGAACTCCACTTGCCTCGAAATCCTATTGGTTGAGCAGTAACCAATAGAAATCAAGTTTTAAGAAAAACGACTTGCTAGGATAATTTTGATGTCTACATATGCTATGATGACTCATCTGTCTAGTTTACTTTTTGACGTACACATAACACTCGGATTTAAATCCGAGATTTCCACATTTATTTTAAATTCTATTAGAAAAGAATCGAGAACAAAATTTTGAGAAATATCGTCATGAATAAATGATAAGTTTGTGTATGTGTATTAACCCCCGATGTAGTTTGGCACTATCATTTGTAATATGCCATCGTTCATCTTCTTTTTTCTTGCAGAGATTCAAAAAATTTGAGGTTTCTTTTAAAATAAACTCAGTCCTCAAGGAGTTAATCATTAACAGACTTATACTTTATGAGATACTGTTAGTTTTACTATCTTGTTTTGACATTCATTTGTTAAATTTACAAATTAAGCCTTCCCTCTTTTAAAAAAGTCCATTTTCACCAGAAACATCGAAATGGAGATAAATGTATGAAAAGATAGCCCGTCAGCAGATCTTTCACAAACAACATGAATTTTCTTTTGGCGCCGTGTTCTTTTTTGGAAAAATCTTCATGATTTTCCTTTGTGCTTCTCGACAAACAGGCTTTTTCGTTTTTTTCTCAGTTTACATTTTCTCGAGCGCGCAATCCAACTTTCTCTGTCTTGGTTCATTCGTTATATTTAATTTTTTTTTGTGTTAAAAGAGCATGTCAAATTGTACTGCAGTACAGAGTCCTTTTTTGAAGTAAACTTTTTTTATTATATATGCAGACACTTATATAATTAGACACCCACTTTTGGTGCGTTTTTGAGTTATTGAACTTGTGATTCCTTTTTCTCCGCTGAAAAAGTAAGAATTTAAATAAAAGAACTCTGTACTATACTGCATCATAACATGATTCTTCAAACAGAAAACAAAATTAAATATATAGAATGAGCCTGAACAGAGACATTGGTTTTGCCAAATGAGCTATTTTTGGCCCTTCTTTGGTAGATATCTCACTCAAACGTCGTGATATAGGGCTGAACATTTTATCATAGCTTCTTCACTACAATCTCAGCATATCTTGGAAATTTCATGCCATTGGAATACTAGGCTGAGATCGATTTTTGACTGGGGCTTAAATCTAGATCAACAATGATTGAAACTTATCTTTGTAGCGAATCGATCTAACTTCAACCTTGGCGAATTTCATCGTGACGAGATATTTGAAGAAAAGACTGCAAGCCTTATATATAAGGAGGAAACAGCTGATTCCATGATTCTCTAATTCTGTTGATTCTGACCATTGGAAAAGGGAAGTTATCGTTACGGTACCAGGTAGCGCGTAATAAAAAATTTGTGACTACGATTATCTCGTTAAAGAAATTCTATTTCACGAAAATAAGAAGTTTTAAAACACTTTCGCTGAAAATTCGGCGAGCCAAGGAATCCTCGTCGCACGGTATTTCTTGGGCCAATCAGATTTCAGTAGGGACTTTCACCACTATTGAAAGGACAAAACATAGTGTTGTCCGCGCCGATCAGTGAGTTACGAGCAGTCCACTTACGTATGACCCAAATAACACCATGCTTTGTCCTTTTAATAAATCTAGGTTTGGCCGCCAAAATTTAGAAAATCAGACAAAATAATAAATAAATTCAAGTGATTCCAACGATTCCAGGTGATCCTGCTGCCCGAAATCAGCTGCTTCCCCCTTGCTTATACCTCTATGAGAACCCAACCATTGGAGTTGCGGTTTTCAGTGAAATGCAGAGTAGTATGTGTAGTTTATTTAGGAAAAGTTTCAGCTTAATTCGCTATCAAAATAATTCTTTTAGATAATTAAGAAGAAAAATCATGTATTCAAATTTTGTTCAAAATTATTCATACAGTTCATAGAGAGCAACTATACAGGGTGGCTCAAAAGTCAGTTAACCGCAGAAAAAATTGAATATCTTCATTACGACTCGAGCAAACGAGTTAATATTTTTATCAATGATAGAGGCATGTTGAAGCTTTATATCTATAAAGATATGCTTAGAGAGACCCTTTGTTAAGTATCACTATTGATCCCAACAAAAAAAATTCTACTTTTCACAGATAGGAAGAAAACAAGAGATTTATTTCTCCTGGAAAAAATAAACGACAGATCGAATTTTTCCGATTGATTCTCCATATTATTGTTGTTTAGTCTCATATTTATATCATAAATGCATGTTTTGTTACTCAGTATACCCTGAAAGTTTCAGCAATGAAGAACGAGAATTTGTTGAGAAAATTGCAAACGTGTTTAGTGTACTCTTCTGTGACTGCAACCAAAATTCGCTGTCATGCTTGTTTCGCTATTATTTTTGGTCCAATCTCAATTCTTGGATGGTACTTAGCTACCTCATATATTCTCATCTGTAAACTAATCCAATAGATATAGGCAACCATAATGAAAGGGTTAGAATTGAACCGAAAATAATAGCGAAACAAGCATGACAGTAAATTTTGGTTGCAGCCACACAAGAGTACACTAAACACGTTTGCAGTTTTCTCAATAAATTCTCGTTCTTCATCGCTGAAACTTTCAGGGTATACTGAGTAACAAAACATGCATTTATGATATAAATATGAGACTAAACAACAATAATATGGAGAAACAATCGGAAAAATTCGATCTGTCGTTTATTTTTTCCAGAAGGAATAAATCTCTTGTTTTCTTCCTATCTGTGAAAAGTAGAATTTTTTTGTTGGGGTCAATAGTGATACTTAACAAAGGGTCTCTCTAGGCATATCTTTATAGATATAAAGCTTCAACATGCCTCTATCATTGATAAAAATATTAACTCGTTTGCTCGAGTCGTAATGAAGATATTCAATTTTTTCTGCGGTTAACTGACTTTTGGGCCACTCTATACATTTGTGTCAATCTCCGTAAATAAGAATCTATTTAGGAAAAGCAATATATATATATACATGTACGTTAGGGTCTAAGCTACAAAATGATAATATAAAAATGATATGTTTTAGGGGCGGCAGATTTCAATACACAACGTTCGGGGTCCTTTTGAAAACTTTCAAAACTGGTTTAATCCGTGTTCTGGTCAAAATTTCTGCAACTCAGAACTTTATAATCATGAGATAAGTTTTTTTCTCTAAAGAATCGTGAATGACTTTTAACCAGCTTATTGTCTTTTTCATTTACCTCTCGTTCACTTGTTTGACAAAAAAAACAAGAAATGAGAGACTCTGATCTGTACTTCTCCTTTTATTCGTTGTAAAAGAAAAAAATACAACGCTAATCTTACATTATCCTTGCTATTGATATAAGTCATAAAACATTGTTGAATCCCATTGACAGTATTGAGCAACCACTTTTACTGCTTGTGTATATGTGTCTTAGTTATCAAGATTTATCCTTTGAAGTTTCTTGATTGTAAAAAGTATGCTCGTAAAATTGGAGTATAGGGATCGAATTGTCAAAAATTTCAAGGACATCTGTATATCCAGTTGTTATATACTAGACAGATAGTTTCATCCTATTCTGCATGTTCTGTCAGTTATACGAGACATACAAAGTTCACCTTTGAAATAACGTCTCTCTCGATGAAGGAAAACCCGATTAGAATCAATAGCAATCAAGATTTTTTTAAAACAAATCTTACAAAATAATCGTGTTGTAATACCGAGGAAACGCCTTGTTGTATCAAATCATCCGTGGTTCGAGACAATATTGATTAGATGGGCTTTGCTGAGGAATTCGAATGGACAA